ATTAATACAGAAGAATTTATTAGAACCTAGGGAACAAAGAATTCAAATCGCTTTTAAGTCATTCCTGATCAAAGGTTTTTTTTTTTTGGTCTTTTTTCGTGACCGGTAAGGGGATCACAACCCTTGGTGTGGGGCACCGCGTCATCCAGTGAGCGCACCGGCCAGTCCTATATAGGATCCGAATCCGTGGCGGGAGCGTCGCCGCACTCCCAGCGCCGCACTCTCCCGAGCAGGCCACAGGGCCGGCCCAATCAAAGGTTTAATGGAACACCTACCTCTAGCAAAATGAGGTAATAAAATGGGGTAACAGAGATGCCATAAAAATTGAGAGAAGCACATGAAATACTTAGAACGGTGCTAGGAACATAATAAATACCCAGTGAAAGTTAACTATAATGATGATGATTATAATGATGTTGCTTCTCCTGAACCAAGCCCCCACCCTCCTTCTCTAAACCATGCACACACTTCTATTATTTGTATACTTACACATTTTTACTCTAAGGCCCCTGAAGTCATGGACCATTACTTACCCAGAGTATTTAAAACTGTGTCTGGCACATAGTAGATATTCTGTAAATGCTGATGCTTGGAAAAAACCTTACTGAGGCAGCCTTTGGAGTTCGCATTTGAAGTCAAATATTTATTTATTTGTTTGTTTGTTTATTTATTTATTTTTGCAGCTGGCCAGTACAGGGATCAAAATCCATGGCCTTGATGTTATAAGGCTGCACTCTACCAACTGAGCTAACCAGCCAGCCCTGAAGTCAAATATTTATTGACTAACAACTAGAGGCTGGGTTGTGCTAGATGCTTTTCCACATAATCTCATTTAACTGACAAGTGTCATCCCACTTTACAGATCAGGAAACAGGCTCAGTAGCCTCCCTTTGGCTACACAGCTCAATTTCCTGACTTTACAGAACCCCCCTCATTGAAGCCCTTAATAACTAATAAATCCCTCACCTCTCTATCCCTCAGTGTGGCAGCTCTACTATTTGCTTCCTCTGGGCTCAGCCACAAAACATTGCAGAAGGAAAAAAAAAATCACAAAACCCTGGCCCACTATAAACTCGTGTTATCTAACTACAACTACACTCTCTGCCATTCTTCCTGCCCCACAGCTTTAATGCCTCCGAATCCTCTTGCTCATGTAACCTTTGTCCACCTGTCTTCAATCATCATATCCTATCAAATTCCCCTCCATCACTTCTCTCACATCTTTGTGTTCCTTTCCATTCAGCTTTCCAACCCCCCTGGTATGTTAGTTACGTCCTGAGCGTGACTGGTCCTACTATGGTCCTTTCTCCCCTCTCATTCCACCCTGAATCCTACTATGAGACCAGTCTTCCTAAAAGAGATCTGGATCATGTCATTTTCCCAACCAAAATCCTTCAGGTGTTCCTCATGGCTGCAGGACAAGGATGGCATTGGCAGACAAGGCCCTCTGTGCTCTGGTCAAAAGCTATTTAATTCCTTCTACTCCCCACCACAAACTCTGCCCTGGCTAAACCAGCTGAAAACCAATCTCCCACATGGCCCTTTACTCACACTGTGCACCGGCACCCGCCTCGCCTACCCACGAGTCTCCTCCTCCTCTTCTCTACCCGGTGAAACCCACGCTTCATGGCTTCTGTCCTGCTCCCTTAATGCAGCCTTCCCTGATCCAGCCTCTAGGACCTCTCCTACCTCTCAACACCTAGTACACCTAGTCCACACCCTCACTGCACTCACAAGGGTACTTCAAAAAGTTCATGGAAAAATAGAATTAAAAGAGAATATAAATCTTTCCATGAACTTTTTGAGGTACTCTTATATATGGTATCCTTTCACCTCCTATTACATTTTAATAATTTGAAGGCAAGAATTGTCTTGGAGTGACTTGCACATAATAACCACAGTGTTTTGACTGACTCAAACTGTCTTAAATATTTCTTTTACAATATTGTGTGTTGAGCAAAGATTTTTCTCTGAAGCCTCCCCACCCTCCTAGGCAGTGTTCTTTGGGGACCTCTCACCACTGAACACAGAACGCTCACACATATCTAGCATTTTAAGCTTAACACATACATGCATATTCACACACACACACACAGAATCTGTCTCCAAAGAATTTCAAATTACAAGTCTGGATCCAGAAAGACCCTAATCTAAGGGGAAAGACCAATCTAGGGGGTGACCACTGGACACCATTATTTAGCAGGGCAGCCACGAGCCAGAAGAACGTCTGATGACCTCTGAGTGTTAGGTCCCTGCCAAAGGACCCAAAAGGGCTTTCCAGAGAGAAAAGACTTGCGTTAAACAAAGTGCTAAATTTAGCTGGTTCCTGAATGTGTTTTCCCAATCAACAGGTCTATTAAAACACTGCCCCCCCCCCCCACAGCTGGCAAAGAATATTGCCAACAGGAGTCTGAGCAATTAGTGAATAACGGCTTATATACTGTCAACAACACATAAAGTCAGTATGTAGGACACCGGCAGCAAGCTGTCAGAATCCTAAAACCCAAGACATCACCAAATGGGTTATAAACATGTTGTTCTTCTTTTGCTACTGTGGGGATTAGTAGCAAATAAAATGTTTGGTATGCTAGGACATGAATGCCACAAGGCCAGATTGAGAAGTTATCCAGGTCACTCCCGTAAACTGCTGATCTAAATCGATGCATTTCTGAGGCAGTACTAAAGAGAAAAGACTATAGTGTATTTTGCCATTAAACTGCCCTTCTCTTCTTATACTATATTCTTCTTACTCTTTAATTTATCCACATTCAGTAGAGAAAAGAAGGTGTGATGGATAAGGTGTATAAGAGCCTATATCTCTCCAGGCTTATATCCTTATCTGTAAAATGAGAAAATTATACTAGATAATCAAGTAACCTAATGCTAACATTTTATGGTTCTAGATGGTTTCTCCAAATATTCTAAATACTTTGGCTTATTCCAATCCTAACATTTGTATAGTAGATCTAATTGGAAAAGTGTCCTTAGCACTGCACTATCTGAATATCACTCAGTAAAAATCCACTTGATGCTTGTGCCTTGCAGCTGGAGCAGAGATCACCTATAAGAGAAACTGCTCAGCGAGATAACTGCTTGCTTGCTCTGTTTCTAGCACAGACCCTGCTTGGCAAAAAGGGTTTCATTTCCACTCCTTATCACTATTAAGAACTAAGAGAAAAACCAGATGGCATGAGGCTGCTGGGCTTCTTTTCCCCCCACTGTCATGCACCAGTAGAGTGCCACTTGTTGCTATTTACCACAAGCTGCCATACCTGAGTTCTTGGCCAAGGACTAGCACATGTGGTTTGTAGTATGTTTATTGATGGTAATTTTATGGAAAATATATGAGAAGAGAGAACTTTCACTTGTGTCATTAAAAAACAAAAGAGGTGTGAAGATCAAGTTGGGAGGTGGAGTGTATAGTAGAAAAAATTTCCACCTCTCCTTCTGTCTACTTTAGCAAATGTTTTCTCAAGCTCTTTTAGGTCTGAGTATCTTTCCTGACTCTCATTGTTATTCTCACCCTTTTAGCCACTTCACTCCCAGGCAGACCACAATCTTCCCAAACTTAGGAATTCCTGCAGTGTAAACAGATTCAGACACAATTCAACAACCTCAGCATTACCTCCTGAACTACAGACACAGAAAGCTACCAGCAGGAGCAGTTTATTTTACAACTGAGGGCAGTAAAAAAGGAAGCAGTCAGAGATGGATAGATGGCAGATCTGGGAGTAGTACCAGACCTAACGGATGATAACTGCCCTTGAAAAGCTTAAAACCTGGCAATTTAAATTAAGCCTGATTCTGAGCTAGGCTGTTTGTCTTTACAAAAGTGGTTAAAAAAAACTTCAAAAAACCAAAATAAACCTCAAAGTTTAGCAAGTCACTGCCACTTAAGGAAACTATCTTAGTAAAGAGGCACGCCTACCAGAGTCTGCTAGTAAAAGAATGAAGCAATTCAGTAGTCTTTCTCAGCCTGACCGTCTGCCTATTTTTTTTCACATGGAAAGCACATGCAATCTTCTATACTCAGCAAAACCAAACATAACAGAGCCCTACTGTTGTCTGCAAAAAAGCCATGTCTGATTGCTCTCCAAATGCAATTAAGCAGTCTCCATAATTCTCCATATTTAATAGCTACTAGCATTAAAGATTTACAATCAAACTTCAACCAAACTTCAACCCAAAATGAAAATATTATACTCAGTTCCTTTTCTACTTACTCACATGATTATAGTTTCCCCTTCAGCTTTTAGGGTCATTCAATAGCAATGGTTTTCAAACCGTATTCCAAGAAGTCCAGTTAATAACATGGTTTGAGGGGGGAAAGGGACAGGCACAGGGATGAAGTGGATCACCTCTCCCACAACTGCTTTAGCTGCTTCATATGCCATATGTTTGAAGAAAACATTTTAATGCTAAAAAAAGAAACTTAAAAACCACTGAAGTAATAGAACTAGATTATCATTATACCAAGGCATTACTTTGTTATATAAGAATTACAACTAGCCAACTCTCAATGACTAGGGCTAAGGAGATGAAGACAGTATAGTAAACAAATGTAATTTACTGAAATCCTAATTTTAGCCAATGGTTTCAATCATCCTTCTTCAACTATTTTTTGCAACAGGAAATAGTAAAATGAAGTTGAATTTCTAGTGAAATGTACAGGCAGTAACAAGGAAGCCAAAGTGAAAACAGATCTGATTATCTGAATCTAGATAGTCAGCCCCTATGACTTTAATTGTTAATATTAACACATTAAATAAATAGCAGACCAGATTCTACCAGATAGAGAATATAAATGAACATGTAAAGAAATTACCCCTTCACAGTGGTAGGATGCTTTATTGCCTGCGATCCACAAGAGACAAATAATACTGGACCTACCATTAAGCCATGTAAGCATAAGAGACTGACTCGGAAACTGGGTCTTTCTGTTTCAAGCATAACAGAAAGGGAAGAGAAGTCAGTGGGATGTGGGACCTGGTGTAACTCACCCGTGTAGAATTCCTTGCTCACGTTGTGTGGCACTGTGATCCGTCGGTAGACAATGGGCTCTGACTCCAGGATGTTCTCATCGTGGCGGTACCGAGCAGGCCTTTCATTTGGGAGGCCCCGGGAACGAGTACCACTTCTCCTCTCATAGGTATCAATCTCCTCAAACACAGCTGCCTTGTCAAAAAGGGCCAGGTTTCCTTCAAAATCAAAATCTGTGTCTGGGATCTCTTCAATATCGTCCCCGAAGCACTCATCATCTTTGTTTTTCATTTGGCCATTCTTTAAACCACTTTTCTTTGGAGTTGCCTGATTTGGGTGCCTGCTACTAGATGACCCTGGAGAAAAAATATGGACTAAAGTTAGTGTGCCTGTAGAAAGTGGTCAGAAGAAGAAAATACAGTACATTAGTCCTTTGTGGAGAGTGTTACAGGAAACAAAGTGAAGATGGTAAAGGTAAGCTATTTCTAAATCATATTAAGTAGCACAAATTTCAAATCTCATTTGGAATAACAGATTTCAAATATTACCCAAGCAATAACTAGTTATTGAATACAAAATAAGCAGTATTCCTGGAAATCTTAGCCAGTTCTGCCCTTCATAAGGAAACTGGTAATGACAGAAGCTTTTTGACAACTCAATATCAGAAAAGAAGTGGAAGGGCAAGAATATAGCAGTATCTCCCCATAGGTCCAGGTGGTTTGATTCTCAGTGTCCGGCAGTTGTTTAAGAACGAAATACTCCTGGAGTACAAAAAGGCCACGTCCTCATACCCTGAAGCCCACAGGAAGACACTATTTAACTGGCTCTTAATTCTATGCTTACCTAACAAACGACCTTTTGATTGTAAATATGATCACAGGCTAGACCCCTGGAGAAGGGAATCTCTGGTTTATGTAACAGATTCCACACCTTGAACCAGATATATCTCTGCCACTATGAATTGGTATTCTGACTTATAAATCTGTCTTTAGATCTTTTGGTTAATGTGATCTCTTTTCTCGGAATTTTACCTCTTCTGGGTAAGCAGCTTCTGAACCATCAAATAATCACAAGGTCTGTATTGAGCTGATCCTATAGAGACCGCACCAAGACACACATCAACACCAGGGTAGCCAGCCACTCTCTGTCTTTGAGACCCTATATGGCTTACCACACACATCAGCCCACAACTACTCTAGCAACCAAGGCAGAAAGCCCCACGGAGTTCTCCAAACCATCAATTCCCAGAGAATCCTGAATTAAATTTATACTCTGATCACCATTTCACTACCCTGAAAGGGTGGACCAGGTGACTGGTATGCCAAACTGAACTTCTATCATGGTCTAAATAAATGTAATACTTTATGACAGACTGAGCTCCTCAATTACCGAAAAAACTTAGCGAAAACTTAGCGTTTAGAACTATCATGAGCAAACCTTCTCATACATATCATTCCAACTATACTACTTGAACTCCTCTCTCACAGTAACCCCCTTCAAGCCAATGGACCAAGAGTCAGGTGACCTAGTATCTAGATGCAGTCCTGTCACAAAATGTTATATAATCTGGGGCTGGCCAGTTAGCTCAGTTGGTTAGAGCCTGGTGCTTATAACACCAAGGTTCAGCGTTCAATCCCTGTATAGCCAGCCTCCAAACAAACAAAAATGTCATATAATCTTATATCCATCACCCAATTCTCAGGGTCTCAATTTCTTTTTATGTAAAATGTTCACTGTGGCATTCCCAGCAGGGATTCTATCATACAGTAGGCAGCCAATAAATATTTGTTTAATTAATCAACATCAGCAAGATCAATTACAATTATTATTTTGAAAGGTGTGTACCATGCAAATACAATTCACACACCAGTCTTCCTAACTCCAAATACTGGTATGAAAGAAAGCTGTGCTGGCAGTGAAGATGTGATTTAGGCTTCTGAGAAGAAACAAGGCTGACCAATATTATGAAGGGAGGGAAGAATAGCTGAGATGCCATAAACGGCTTGGATTATTAACCACTATGAAGCTAGCCAAAGCCTGGATTAAGTTCTATTTCCAATAATAGGATAAAACATTTAGTGAGAGAAAGCTGTGTGCTAGGTGCTGGGAACACAGTATACAACTAGGACGTGCTGCTCAACAAAGAGAGAGGAGAAATATATATGCAAATAATGAAAATACAATCTGATTAGAGTCATAAAAGAAGTATATATAAAAGTGCAATAGAAATATGGATAAGAAAGCAGCGCTGAATAGGAATGGGAGAACAGGTATGAAAATGCAAGGTCAGGATAAAACCAATAGCAATATATGTAGGCAAGGGAAACAAAAGGAAAAAGTCCAGTTTGCAGGAATATCAATGTACTGCCTCAATATTAAATCAAATCATCCTATTAGGAAATAGGTCTCTAGCCCAGTGGTCTCTCTCTGGTGGGTATGTGCATCTCCAGGGGGGTGCAAGATGATCCAATGGGATGCAAGAAGAAGATATGGAATATTCCACTTACATTTCCTTTTAACTAAAAATACTAAGAAATTAAACTTTATGAATTTAATGTACTGATGGAAACTGGCACTCTTATGAGGTTTCATGCCAGCCAATTGCTGTCAGTATTTCAGATATCTAAGGAAAATGTGACATTCCTTAACAAGAAGTCTGTTCATGCAAGTGCATTTATAACTTTTTAAAAATTGTGCTAAAATATACATAACATAAAATTTACCATATTAACCATTTTAAGTGTACAGTTCAGTGGCATTGGGTTCATTCACATTGTGCCACCATGCCAATTTTTAACTACAGTATACAAAAATGAACACATGGCTTAAAAAGATTCCTATAAAGAAACTGTGTATTAAAGATAATACTAATGCAATCATAAGTAAACAACAGAATCACAGAACTAATGCTTCCCCTATTCCTCTTATAGGCTTTCTTTAGTCAGAATTTTTTTTTATTAATCTAATCAGATCTATGAAGAACATGGCCTCCCAAATTTTAAAAGTATCAAGGTTATTCCAAACATGAATCTACATCGACTTCAACCTAAGTGTACATTCTACAAAAGTCTACAAACTACACAGGCCATAGGCCTAATCCAATCCACTACTTTTTTCTGTAAATAAAGTTTTATTAGAACACAGTCACACTTTTTTTTTTTTAACATATTGCTTAAGGCTGTTTTTGTGCTGCAAAGGCAAAGTTAAGTATTTAAGACCAAGACCCTATGACCTGCAAAGCCTAAAATATTTACCATCTAATTCTTTACAGAAAAAGTTTGCTGACCCTGCTCTACATCATGCCTCTCACAAGTATTCTTTCCTGTTAAAACTGCCATTAAAACAAACAAAGCAAAATTAATTGAACCTGGGACCAGTTCTTTGAATCTGTTTTATTCGGAGTGTTAAGTGTGCAACTTATAGCTACTGTCTTTCAACTCCACCCTCGCCCCCCCTTTGTGATGACAGGGCTAAGTTAGTATGTGAACTTTAATCTATCACATTACAAATTCTACACTATTTCCATATGTAAAAATATGCAAACAGTAGTAGGGAAACCATGTAGCTAAGAGACCTAGACAAAACTAAAAAAAAATACCACAGTAGATCATGTCTAGAAAATGAGCATACAAAGCAAAAGTGAAAAACATTCAGTACAGCACAATGGTAAAAGAAGGAAGTCAAAAGCAACAGGAAACAAATATTCTTTTTTTAAAAATAACTTTTTGTTAACAGATGTTCATAGTATAAATCTGTTCATAATGCATAAAATATACAGAAAAGTGCAAATATTCACATAACATTTTGATGTATTCCTCTTAGTCAAAAATTTGTATCCATTTTACGAAGTTCTGTATCTTGCATTCTTGCTTAGGAGCATCTTCCTGTTTCATAAAAGAATCCTTCAAATATCTTTTCATAGCTGTATAAATTATAGATTATACCATATTGATATATAGCATACAGATCATCCCTTACTGATGAACTTTTAAGCTACTTCTCATTTTTACTGTTACGGACTCAGCCCAATCACGCTGTCTCTGATTACTCCTGCTGAAAAACCATTCTCATCTGACTGCTTATAACAGTGTGGGTACCATTGACATAGCATTTACCCTATACTACCTACTTTATTCTGCAGTTAATCTGTTCTTGCTAACTCCCCAAGAAGCTTATAAACTAACAGAGGGCAGGAATCGTGTCATTCATACCTGTCACCCAATATTATGCCTGGTCCTCCATAAGTACACAAACCTCCGCTGAATTAAGAAAAAACAACAGCCATATTAAAAAATATATATAAATGACACAAAAGAGTCTAGAAAGAAGTTATAAAAGAAAGGACAACTTGAGATTAACTATGAGAAAGAAAGGGAGCCATCGAAAATTATGCCGAGTTTGTTGCATGACTGAAGACAGGAAGATGAAGTTGTTGACAATAATATAAGAGGGAGTATCAGGCAAGGACTTCAAAGGAAAAAGTTTAGCCATGTCCAGCATGTACTGGCAATGAGCTATCCTGGAACTGTTACAATGACAGATGAAGATAAGTGATTGATCAATGAAGTAGAAGGCAGGATAAAAGGAGCAAAGTGGGAAACCATTTCCATTCAGATGAAATCCTAAGCTCCTGAAACCAGGTGACAGACCAAGAATAAAGTCAGAGGAAAAAGGATACAGACATCACTAAAGAGGAGCAGGCAGAGGCACAAAAACAGTTGTAGGAGAAAAGAGAAAAGAACCAAGACTCCAAAGACCCCAAAACTCTACAGACAGTTCAGACTTCCCAACTGGCATTTAAAAGGCCAATTATCCCTGCTGCTGAAGTCATAGCTTCTCTAACAACTAGCCAAGTATGTATCAGCCGTAAACACTGGGCTAATACCAATATGAAAGTGTTCAGAAGTATCTGAGGAGAGAGGTTGCAGTGTGAAAACAAAACATTTTGCTCAGTTTTTTTAAAAAAAGACTAATAAATAATGTCCACTTCATATCATGCCACATGATGAAGAGCTACTGAAATGCATAGTAAAAAAGCAAAGAAAACCACCATGGCTAGCTGTTAAGCTCCTTCTCAGCATGCTGACAAGGTGCTTCACAGTAAAGATTAACAGGGTTCACACCGGGAGAAACCCTAAACCTGCCCTAATGATGATGAGCACTGGTCACCATTTTTGGCTCTGCTGTAGGATTCTACAAACATAATTTACAACCAAACCCAGAGCTATATATTTAGAAAATTTCAGGTATTTTCTCATGCTCCTCTGAATGCAGGATTTTCTATTCATTTGAGAAATATATACTAAGGCCCAGCTATGTTCCAAACACTGTCAGGAAAGTAGAGAGCGAAGAACAT